ATTCCAAGTTACAACTTGTACAAGCATTCCAAAGAACATTACTGCAGAAAAAAATTATTACAGTGTGACTCTCATATCTGCAAGACCAGTATCCACGATTTCACTTGCCTGCATCTGAAAAACAATGATCTCCAGGCATTTTCTACATTTGTCAGGATGATTCTATGGCACGCTTCTGTCGTGTGTTGACTGTAGGGTAGTGCTGGAGGATGTAAAAATGTTACAAAAGTCTTCTCTCTGGGTGCTTTCTAGGTCATCCAGCTTGATTCTGTGGTATGCTTCTGCTGGAAATTGTTCATTTCAATATGGTTCACTATGATCTTCAATTTCACAGTTTATCCAGGAATATATCCCCCATGGATATGTGATCAGTCATAATGTAATCAGTGTTAACTAGGACACCCAACAGTAAGAGGTTGTGCTATTGGTAAGCCAGCATTACCTAAGGACCTCTTCACACGTGCCGCTGGAATCACCAGATCATAGTGATTCTGGTGGTGCCCATTGGAGGGCATGGGGAACCCATTGCCCCATGCCCCGCATCGCCCAATTTACTGGTAAGTCCATCCCATGGGGGAAAGTGTCCGCCACTTGGCTTCCTCCTGTGTTGTTGCTGGAGTGGCATGCAATGCTTTTCCTTCCCTATCACCATGCAAGCTCACTGGAAGTTGCAGTGCATCATGGGATGGGAGGTGGCGGGCTCCATGATGAAAGGGAAGACGAACTGGTGCATGTTGCTGATTACATCTCTGTCTGATGAGGTTGTAAGAGTCACACATTCCCAAGATTATTGAGGTCATTACTCCCTTTTCCTGTTGGTCCCTGTGATAAACTTTTGCTTACAGAATCATGTTGAAAACAACCAGAACTGTTTGTAAATGTTCCCAGCAGAGGGAGCCAGAATTCTTCATTTTGCAGATTTGCAACAAGTTAGAAAATGGCGACTTGGCAAGAAATCTTTTTGAAGGCACTTTTAGCTTATTTGAAATGGCTCCAGGGGTAACTTTGAATGAGAGAAATGCAAAAAGCCAACAACCTGTCAGAACTTTCCATGCGTTGGTGGGCGACGGAAGAAAAGGGATTCAAGAGGGCAAATGTTGCCCTTGGTTAACATTTCCCTCTTGCTTGTCTGCAACAGAACAGGAAGTGCATCAGAAACAGCACAAGCATCTCATTGCACCATCATGTCATTTCTGATTTATGACTCCCCTGGAGCCATCCATAATGTAACATGTAGCTTCGCCTGGAGGAATGTTACCTCGAAAGTTTTTGGAGCTTGTAGCTAATGGGGAAAAACAAATGGGAACCAGATGGGGTGTCTGTGGCTAAGTATAAGTAAATAACACACACAAACA